CGTCGAATGGTGTATAATTCAACGGATTTTAAAAGAAAAATTTTTAGGTTTTTCCGAGGTGATGTGGACGTTTTTGACAAGAGGCTCCCGAGTGTTTTCTGTCATTTCCCCATTCAATAGAGAATTGAAAGCTCTACAGAAGTGCACATTTTCATTTTTCAAAAAAATTTTTTTTCTCAATAAAAGTGTAAAAGATCGGCACATGCTCAGTTTTAAATTCAGAGACAGGCATTCATTAAATGATCTTAGAGTTTTTTGAAATTTTAAGCATACTATTAGATTCGCCGTGAAATTCTGCGTCTTTATATGTAACTCGTAACTTGTTGAAAGACAGATGGGCCAGGAAAGTTTTTGAATTAAAAAATGTGAAACTACAGAAATAATCACTTTTCGGACAAATGTTTTGCACTTATATCTTCGAGTTTATGAAAAATTACAGTTTTCACTTTTTAAAGTGAAAGGTGCGGCAATATGTTTAGCATTAAATTCTGCATTTAACTGTGTGAAAATAAACTTTTTACACATTAATTTGATTCTGCAAAGGCCGTTTTCCGGAAAGACTACCACCTCTCGATTCCTAGCCTGTTTCTATCAAGCTATAAAAGCAAAATTTTTGAAAAGAGTGTAGAAATAAATATAGGGAACAAAATTGCCTTACGATTCATCCAAAATACTTTATATTTACTAGAAAACTTCATCTGGAAAAACAGAGTACGAATCGAACAAATATTCAGAAAAACATCAGATCGCAGTTTGAAGATTGAGCATGTGTTAATGTTCTAAATTTTGTGATTAGGAAAAAAATGTATTTGAAAAGCAGAAATGGGCAGTTTTGTGGAACTTTCAGTTCTCTATAGAATGAGCTATGAAAATTAAAGGGTAGTACCTCAAAAGTAGGAAAACATTTTAACCCATTTATTATGGCCTACCCGTTAGTTTTACACATAAAACGTTTTTTGACGAAAATTTAGTGCAAGGGTCTCACTCCCTAAGGGCTTTTTTTATCGAAAAAAAATATTTTCGAATTCGATTTTTTTTACTTCTATTAATATCTGACACGTAATAAGACTATATTATGCGAAAATAATCATTTTTTAACTCAGAAAAGCAGATGTCCGCCTTTTCTATGGAAAAATGCCCACTACGACGGTGTTTGTAAAGCAGTGTGAGAGTGAGTTTGACGAACTAGATTTTGACGAAATACCAAGTACACTAGAAATGACTAAAAAACGTGAGAAACACTGCAATGGATAACACTATTTTATAATGATAAAACTGAGTTAATTATAAATAAGAATGACTTAAACGACGTACTTTCTTGAGAATTGTAAAGAAGTTTGCTGACAAGTGTTGTTCCCAGATTTCTGAAATCTCTGTGTTAATCTTGCGAGCGCATTCGCTCAGGCGTATTAATAAATTTAGGACACGTCTTTTTACTATGTAAAGTTATAAAAAATATAATTAACTCTAATATACCTCTAGAGAGTCAACAAAATGTCAGCTAGACAACATTATACTTCTTTTATTTTGGCAGCCGCCGTTCAATGTTGAAAGATGTGGCTGGAATGAAGAGTCAAGCGTTACAACCACCCATTAATCTACGTCCCCAGAGAAGCTTTGTGTCATCTTCAGTTCAAACAAGTGCTGCATCAAAACCGATACAACGAACCGATAATCTGTCGTACAAAAATACTCAAACGACGGTATTGTTAATACCCAAAGAAAAAAGCGGAAAAGATGAAGAAACACCAGAATTAGTGAAACAATTAGAAGACAACGTGGAGGAAGTGAATGATCATGTTCGATTATGGCAAGAAGGATGGCGTGAACGATATTATAAAAACAAGTTTAATGTAGATAAAGATGAGAGTGATCAATTTCGTGCTGAAGTGGCATGTCAGTATGCAAGAGGTTTATGTTGGGTGCTAAGGTATTATTATCATGGAGTGCCCGGTAAGACAGTGACCATCATTTGATAGTTAAGTTCTAAAGGAGGCTGCTTGTCTTCAATTTTTCGTGCTTATCACGAATATTTATACGACAATGATTGCTGCTTCTTTTTTATTCAAATGTAGTTCAAAAGACTAAATCATTCTATTTTTCTAGCTTGGGACTGGTTTTATCCATATCACTATCCACCGTTCGCTTCTGACTTTATCAATTTGAAAAATGTATCAACAGTATTCGATAGCAAAATAAAACCGTTGAAACCGTTAGAACAGTTGATGGCCGTCTGTCCACCTCAGTCACGACAGTTACTACCAGAAAAATGGCAAACACTGACGTTTGATAAACTATCGCCAATTATCGATTTTTATCCGATAAATTTTTCTATCGATTCGAACGGTAATCAATACGCGTGGCAAGGTATTGCTGTACTACCATTTGTTGACGAAAAACGTCTACGTCATACATTGGAGTCAATCTGTGAAACATTAACAAATCATCAGAAAAAACGAAATAAAAATGAAGATGATCAATTGTATGTGCATCGTCGTAATAAATATTCCAAGCATTTCGATCAATTGTACGTAGACAATACAAATATTCTAAACATAGGAAATGCTATTAATATTCAAACATCGTTGAATGATGGTATAGCAGGAAAAATCTGGTGTGACAAACACATGCTTTGTATTAATGGAACACTAAAATCACCATTATCTCAAGCGAATGATATAGAACACAATCAAGTGATAAGTGTCAAATATCGAAATTCAAAGTAAAAATGGGAATTTACTTCACGGAATGTATGCTCATGTTGATCCGACATCGAATTTTGAAAGTGCTATAATTTTTAATATAAGTTTTCCCAAAATCCAACATTCATTTAATTATGAATAAAAAAGATCCTACGCAATTCTCGCGTAAATAGTATAAACCACTTGTTAGATAAAATCGAACTTCGCTCAGAACACACGGTTACCATTGTCTAAAACTCATAAACGTAGACGAATATTTTGCGCTGGTATTGTATCGTCCTACTCCAAAAAGTAAAATTAGTCTAACTCGACTTCTGTATAGTGAAACCTCAAACGTTTTTTCATTTAATCTGACTATATGCTTACGATCGATCAAATGTAATTTCTGACTTCTTACACTGAATTGTTTTCCATTTATTATCAAAACTTCTTTGGATTCCACAGCATAGCGTAGGTAAAATGGGGCATATCGTGACATTCTGAAGTGGTTTACATCGATTTTGGCAGAGTTATAAGTGTAATGATTTTCCTTCAAAAATAGCCGAAAATGGATTATTTCACGTAATACAAGTTTTCATTAGGTTCTTAGTTTTTTCCTCTGTTTGAGTCTCTTTTTCCGGCACGCGCATTTTTTCGAAGAACGAAAATCGACCTTTTTGGCTGTTTCTCAATATTTTTGAGGTTTTCTCAGCGAGAGAAGAGTTCCCAGGGATGGAAAGGTGACATTCGTGATTAGCTCGGTGTACTGAATCGAAATATGTATCGTGGTATCGAAAAAACATTTCTTGCAATTTGTTTTACGTGCATCTTAATTAGATTATTTTTCACCCTTAAAAAATACAACTGAAATAGTGTCACATATTCTTGACCCATCCACTTAATGTCCTGGTATTTTGTTTTAGAGGAGACTTCAGTTTTTATTTTTATGTCAGAAAACATTACTTTTGCCTGAAAAGTTTGGACAAGAAAAGTAAAAGTTGAAAATAAGAAACCCGTTTTTGCAGGGATGGATCTTCGTCTCAAGCTAGAGACACGCAACTATTTAACGTTTAGAGAGGTTACAGATTTTAACGACTGTAATATGACCTTTGTTCTTGAATGAATTGTAAGAATCCCCGCAAAATTTGAACAACGAATTTTTTGCTGAACAGATATGAGAAAACTTACTGCCGAATCGCCATATCATTTTCGATGAGCGCTGGAGCTCAGAGTCTGGAAGTTCTTATCAGAGTTCGAATTTTGGATGAAAGTCTCGGTAATTTTTCAATGTGAAAATTCGAAAAAAATCGAAGTATTTATTTGCAAACAAAAATACGTGGTAATCGACGCCATGACGCAGATATTGTTGACGAAGTCGACAGTATGTTCATTGATCAACGTCAACACTACACACAATTAACATCACTGACATCCGGCTACAAATCGTTGACGTTCTTTCATCCATAGAAAAATGTGCTTTATTTTCTTCATATTCAATAAGAAGAACATAACTTCTCATTTAAACAAGATAAGTTGTTATTATTTGACTAACAACGACACATAAGTGCGTGCATTCATTTTTTCCACCATGTTTTATACCATAACCGAGCTGAAGAGACCTTTGAGCAAGGTCGAAACCGGTCCTGGACTGCTTCGCATTTTTTTTAAAGAAAGTTTTCGAAAAATTTGACCTTTTTTCTTGTGTACGAAATAAACATTCGAAAACTATCGTTCTTCATGCTCAGCGGCAAGACTGTCGTTTTTGCTTCAAAAATATTAACACTAATGAAAACTGTGCACATGAAATGGCTTAACACTAGAGATCTGTGGGATCGTCCCGAAACCAGGACTAAAAAAGGTCGTTCCACAGATCCTAGTCATCCGAGTTCTCATCGTTGTCTCTATGATCAAATATATGTCCTGTTGATGCATCTGCCTGGGTTTTTTCCCTTTTTCTGTTTGTCACTTTGTTATGGGTTGATATAAGTGTTATGATATTATGTAAGGAAGAGAAGAAGAAAAAAGAATTACTGAGTAAAAGACATATGAATAGAACAAAAAGAAAGGGGAAAAACCCATGAGATTATTTTGACTGCTCTGTAAAGTAAAAGTTGCAAATGTGCATTGATATATAGGTCTAGTTAAAGAGAGAGAAAGATTGGCACAGACACATTTATATTCTAGCACGGTCAGATAAAAAACATATACACAGAATACATGCACGCGATATACATACGATACGAAAGTGGGACTAGAAAGAAGAAAATGAGAAGGTAAAAGTATAACAAATAAAAACGTTCCGTTATGGGTTATTCATTTCGTTTTTAGGAATGGATTTTTCCCTTTCTATCTTGTACTAGGGGTGGCACATTTTCTTTACTGAGTAAAGCAACGCTTTCAAATATCACCGTATGAGTGACGAACAACCGAAAATGTATTGTTTTATCACCTTCCGGACACAATGCGACTAAAGCGTTACTATATTATGCGTTACTAGTAAC